GAAGAGCTATAGAAATGTTAGCTATTATCTTTGTAGTATCAAAGAATTGAAAACCTAGTGAGTGCCCATCAACTTGGGGAATAACTGAACAAACTAAGGTACATGAACATAAAGGAATATTATCATACCATAAAAAATGATGAAAGAGAGCAGCTAGGTAGCGCAGTAGATAAAGCATTGGCCCTGGAGTTAGGAAGACCTGAGTTCAAATCCAGCCTCAGACACTTGACACCAGCTGTGTGACCCTGGGCAAGTCATTTAACTCCATTGCCTAGCACACCCCCCCAAAAAACCAAACAAACCCCAAAAACTTATGAAAGACGCAGTTTCCATGAAATCTGGGAAGACTTGTAAAAACTGACAGGGTAAAAAGAACCAAGAAAGCAATGTATAAAATAACAATACTGCAAAAATAATAACTGAAAAACTTTAATCAATATCATGATTGTCTTGTCAGAGACGATAAAACTCAAGTGCAGAATGAAACATTTCTTGGACATGGTCAATATGAGAATCTTCATATGTTACAGAGGTCTTGTCCCCCCTACTCCTTCCCCTGTGGGTGGGTGGGGGCAATGAAAAGGAGAGAAAATTGATTTTTGTTCACTGAAACAATTTTTCATTTTAAAAAAAGGGGGCTCATGATCACTTATGGACAGGAGAACAGGGATTCCTCAACTTTCCAAAATGTTATAGAATTATTTTGGCCAACTACAAGCCTTAGAAATGCACTAATGCACTGATGGAGTTCTAGAGGGATCCAACTATTCAGGACAGCAATCTGGAATTATTCCAAAAGAGCTAAAAAAACCTGTGCATACTTCTAGGGCTGTATCCCAAAGAGATCATACAAATGGGAAAAGGACCCACATGTACAAAAATATACATAGCAGCTCTTTTTGTGGTGGCAAAGAGTTGGAAATTGAGAGGATGCCCATCAATTGGGGAATGGCTGAGCAAGTTGTGGTATATGAATGTAATGGAATACTATTGTGCTATAAGAAATGATGAAAAGGCTGATTTCAGAAAAACCTGGAAAAACTTGTATGGACTGATGCTGAGTGAAGTGAGCAGAATCAGGAGAATGTTGTACACAGTATCAGCCACATTGTTCGATTACTAATATTGATAAACTTAACCCTTCCCAGCAATACAAGGATCTAAGACATCTCCAAAGGCCTAATGATGGAAAATGCTAATCCACATCCAAAGAAAGAACGATGGAGTTTGAATACAGATCAAAGCATACTATTTGCTATTTTTTTTTCTTCTGTTGAGTTTTGTTTCCTCTTTCTTGTGATTCCTCCTATTGGTTCTAATTCTTACTTACAACATCACTAATGTGAAAATATGTTTAATAAGAATGTATATGTATACCCTATATCAGACTGTGTGCTGTCTTGGGGAGAGTAATTGGGAGGGAGGGAGAGAAAAATTTTAAACTCAAAAGCATATGGAAGTGATTGTTTATAAATCAAAATAATCAATTTTTTTTAATTTTAAAATTTTTTAAAAATTAAAAAACAAAACAAAACAAAACTGTGCATATCCTTTAACCCAGCAACACCACTACTAGATCTGTATCCCAAAGAGATCAAGAGGGGACAGCTAGGTGACACATTGAATAAAACTCTGGTCTTGGAGTCAGGAGGCCTTGAGTTCAAATCCGACCTCAGACACTTAATACTTACTAGCTGTGTGACCCTGGGCAAGTCACTTAATCCCTGATTGCCTCACTAAAAAAGCAAAAAAAAAAATCAAAGGAAAAGGACCTATATGCACAAAAAATGTTTATAGCAGCTCTTTTTGTGGTGGCAAAGAATTGGAAATTGAGAGGCTATCCATCCACTGGGGAACGGCTGAACAAGTTATGGTATATGATTGTGATAGAATACTATTATGTTAAAAGAAACAATAAGCAGATGGTTTCAGAAAAACCTGAGAAGAGTTATATGAGCTGATACAAAGCAAAGCGAGCAGAACCAGAAGAACATTGTACACAGTACACAAGATGATCAACTGTGAATAACTTAGCTATGCTGATCAACACAATGATCCAAGGCAATTCTGAAGAACTTAAGATGAAAAATGGTACCTATCTCCAGAAAAAGACCTGATGGAGTCTGAATGCAGACTGAATCATAATTTTTTCACTTTCTTGATTTTCTTGGCTTTTTTTTGTAACATGGCTAATATGGACATATGTTTTGCATAATTTCACATGTATAACTGATATCACATTTTTTCTTACCTTCACAATGGGTGAGAAAGGGTGGGAGGGAAAGAATTCAGAGCTCAACTCAAAAAAAAAAGACATTAAAAATAATTTCAAAAAAAAATTGGCCCAGGCCAAATGCTATCATTTTGTTTGCTTATCAGCTGTTAAAAAAATTAAGAGTAGAGTAAGAGCAGCCTCTTTCCCTCTCTCCCCTTCCAAAGTCAAGGACAGATTTATTGTCAGGGAAATTCACTTACCACTTCTAAAACTGTCATATACCACTCCTAAACAGAAGTGAGGCTTCGTCTGTGAAGATTTTATTGACAATAGCTACCAAACCTTAATTTAATTAGCAAGCTATTCCACTGGACCAAAGGCCACCAAAGCAATAGCCAAGTGTTTCATAACAAAAAGAATGTTGTATGGACTATCATTATGTTAGGATTTAAAGACCTTGGGAAAGGCTTCAAGGTATTTTGCAATAACTAGTTTTAATCAATGACCTCCTTCTCAGAACGTTTTAGAGGGCTAAGTACCTAGGGGTGAAAAGCACTGGCACAGGATTATTCAAAATAAAGATCACCTTTTTAAAAATATGATCATAAAAAAAACAAACAAAAAAATAAAAAATGATCATAGCAGTAGCACAACTGGCCAATGTAATGCCACTTAGTGAGATGGATAATAGGCAAACTTCTTTCTCTTCCCTCCTTCATGTTTACCAGGATATTTGGCCCCTTGGAGATTCTAAGGTGGGAAAAAAAAACAAAAAACTTTCTTCATTTTTCTTGAGTAGCATAGTATGAGTGTGTCAAAAGCCTAATTAAAAAAACAAAACAAAACAAAGACAGTTCTTGGTATACAAATTCTCCCAATCAGGTATAGTATCAAATGGATAAGGGCTAGGGTGTCCTACAACTGGATGTAACCTTTTAGTAGAAATGTACCAGTATAGAACATTCTCAAGAAAGGGCAAACCACAACACTTAGAAGTTACACCTGCTAGGAGGAAGTTCCCACTTGACTCTCCAGTTTTTCAGCTTTTGTAGAGGCTGATATCAACTCCAATCTTCAGGAACTCCCCCCAAAAGTCAACACAGTGGGGATACTTAATAAATTTTCATCTAATACTTTAGCTGTCTCCAACTGTGAACTCATAAATGGCATTTTTACTAAATAGTATGTACTTGGTTTCAACTGTCACCTTGAATATAATGGCTGGGTGATCCTAGATGTTGCTCTAGGCAACTCTCAAATTACTGCACAGAAGGCGCAAACATTCACTGGTAAAAGGAGTTAAGGTTCCAATACCAATCAAATCACAGGTCCAATACCTGTGGGTGGGGTGGGGATGTTCTTATGATAATTGTTTAAAAAGGGACGAAAACAGAGAAATCATATCCACTGCTTTAGGATACTTCTCCATTTTACCAGGTTCAGAGGTGCTTAGCACCCCCTCTTAGGAAGCTGGGATTCAAGAGCTACTCCTCACCCCTTAAGAGAATAGAAAAATCCTTAAAAGTATAATGAAGCTTTCACAGCAAGCCCCTGGTGTGATGTTATTTAACAAAAATAAGGGCAACAGGGGCAGCTAGGTGGTGCAGTGGATAGAGCACCGGCCCTGGATTCAGGAGGACCTCAGTTCAAATCCGGCCTCAGACACATACCACTTACTAGCTGTGTGACTCTGGGCAAGTCACTTAACCCCACTGCCTAACCAAAAAAAAAAAAATAAGGGCAATGCCTCAGGTTAACTGTGGCCTGGGAATCAAAAGAATAAGGTTCTGGATCAACTTTCCCATTCATTACCCCCATGTCTTGACAAGTCACTTCTCTTGGGACCTTAATTTTCAGACTTGCAAAACAGGCAAACAGGACTAGATCTACGGTTATTAATCTCTTGGGGAGAAGAAAGGAGCAGTGTCTATGGACAGATTTAAGAGACAGGGAATTTAGAAGGGTAAAAAAAAATTACAATCTTTATTTTCACATTCAAACTGAAATTTAGCATTTTCTTCAATTATTTAAAAACATTCTGACAAGGGGTCCACAGGCTTCACCCGACTGCAAAGGGTCCATGACACCCTTCCCTCCCCCCCAAAAATAAGTAAAACAAGAAAAGGATTAAGTGAGGTGTATTTTACAAGCAACTGTCACTAAGCTTACTCATTCCTTCCGTAGCTAACCCATTTGACAAGGTATGACGGAGAATCAATAAAACCTGGTAAGGACCCCACCCGGCAAGGGGCACTTTCTTGCTTTTAGTCTGCCTTGGCTTTCCAGCCTCCTCTCCCCCCTTCTCTTCCCCTGGGCCTTTCAGACAACTTTAAACTCCAAATCGCTGGCGAGGATTAGCCGAGATAGCCCCATAGCCCTCAAGCCAGTGTAACCCATAGTAACTCCCATCTCTGTCGCAGAAGAAGAGAAAAAGAAATGGGGAGGGAGAGAGAGGGGAGAAGAGAAGGAGAGAGAGAGACTGGAGATAAAAGATGGAGAGAGAGAAAGCGATAGAGAGATGAGAGAGACTGGAGAAAGAGACGGAGGGAGAAAAAGAGAGAAGGGGAGAAGGGGGAAGAGGAGAGAGGGAAAGCGGAGGAGGGGAAAGGAAAGGGGAGGAGGGGAAAGGAAAGGGAAGAGGGCAGGAGAGGAAGAAAGAGGGAGGAGGAGGAAATGGGGAGAGGGGAGAAGACAGGAGGTAGGGGGAGAGGAGGAGAGTAAATGGGTCTATGTGTACGGGCTGCACAGGGAGGCGGAAGAAGAGGGAAGGGGATGAGAGGCTCACCTGCACGGGACAAAGCAGCGCCAGGCCGACGGCCAGGAGCAGCCGGGGGCTCATGATCCGGCGGTTGCGGCAGCCGGCTGCGGTCAGCGGGGTCGGAGGGGGCGCAGGGCAGGGCGGCCCGCGAGTCGGACGGGGCGCAGGACAGGGGGCAGGCGCGCCGGGCGGAGCTGGGCTGTGCCGGAGGGAGCCGGGCTGTGCCGGAGGGAGCCGGAGCCGGTCCGTCCACGTCCCCCTGCGACGCCGCCTTCGCTCACACCAGTGGAATTTTGTGAGCCAGCACAGCAGCAGGGAGCGAGCTTAACGCGCAAGTCAGGAAGGAGACGGTGGGGGGGGGGAATGCAGGGTGGGGCTACGCATGCGATCCGCCCCTTGGGTCGCCGCCTCCTCTTCTCCCCTCTCCCCAAGGGGCGGAGCCTCGTGTCGCCGGGCGCCGCGCGCTCCTGCTCCCCCCACCCTTCACCCCTCCCCCAGCCCAGCGCCTGCCGGGCCCTGCCGCAGCCGGCAGCAGGAGGCCCGCGGCTTTGCTTCCCTAGCCTTGGCTCCGGCGCCGTCCTCTACGAGGAGCTAAAAATGATCTTCCTCTCCACCAATGCTCCTGCACCTCCCTGAGTTTCTCCTCGGCCGCCATCGCGCTCTCTCCTTGCATTATTATAATTCTCTGTGCTGACCCCACTTGCTCGTTCCTTGCTCTTTTTAGTTGACTGAATACTAGCAATGCCCCCCTCCTCCCACTTTCCACCCCATTCTTCACCTTGAATCTTCTGGTTTCATACAAACTTAGGGACCTCCATCCAGCCCTCTCCCTTTTTTTCTGGGATGATTTAGGGAAGGAGAATGTTCCTAAGGACGTCAATCATTTTTCCTTATCTATAGTGAGTAACAGTTCACTTTTGCTGGGGAGAACGATTCCAAGGGTCCACATACAGCCTTTTTACTTCTAGAATTGGAGGGTGGGTGGCGTGGAGTCTCCTCCAAATGATTTCACGCTGCAATTGTTTTGAAAGCAAAAAATCGCATCAACCCAAGTGAAATTAAGTTGTCTGGGTTTAGGAGCAGTGTGGTTATAAGGGTAAGACCGCTGATGTGAGGTAGGAGACCTGGGGTTAAATTCTGGCTCTGAGTGACCTTTAACGAATCATTTCGCTTCTCTTCAATTCAATCAACAGTTATTAAGCACCTACCGTGCTAGGCGCTGTACTAAGCGCTGGGGATACAAAAAAAAAAGTAGCAACAGACAGTCCTCGCTCCCAAAGAGTTTACAGTCTAACGGGAGGGGTTGACAACATGCAAGCAAGTATATACAAAGCAGGCTATATATAGGAAATCATTAACAGAAGGCACTGGAATTAAGAGGGGTTGGAGAAGGCTTCCTACTGGACACGGGATTTAAGCTGGGACTTAAAGGACCTTGGAGGTCAGTAGTCACAGTGGAGGAGGGGGAGGGGTGGGGATAGCCATAGAGAGGAGGAGGAAAGGGGGGGGGAGAGGAAGGGAGGGGAAGGGAGAGAGATGCACTCAGTTTTCTCATTTGTAAAATAAGGAGATTTAACCAGATGATCTCTAATGGGCTGTCTAGCTAGGGACGCTCTGGTCCTGGCCGCACCACGCAGTTTTATTTGCTGATACAGCTACACAAACACAACTCAACTCCAAGCAGTATACCCAGTCGGGTGGGAACACTCCCAGGGAGCTTGACGTATGGTGGCCTGACCCATGATGGGAGGTTATCAGACAAACCCAAAGCCAGAGAGGACTTAGTCATTGGCCGAAGGCAGGGGAAGGGAGGGGCGGCGTGGAGAGATGGTGACAGTCTCCTGGAGTGACGCTTTGGATTCTCAGTGCCAAACATGTAATCGTCACAGATCCTGTCTGTTTACAGCTGACTCTGCCAAAACTTCTCGAGAGCTTGAAAACACACACCATCTTTCGGTAGAAGTTTGCATTGCTGTTTTCAAGTACCTACAGCTACCTGGGGAGCTTGGAAAAAGAGCTGCAAACTTTTGGCTGGCTGACCCTTCTGGTTTGGGGAGCGAGGAGATTGTCATCTGCCACTGAATCATTGTGTTACAGAATGAGGACCCTTTGAGGCCTTCTAGTCCAATACTCTTTCTTTTTTTTTATTTAAAATTTTTATTTAAAAAAATTGAACTTTAAATAAACACCAAATAAAATGGTGTTACATCTATATAAATAGAAAAGGGATCGTATATGAAATTGTGAATCTGTATGAACAGATAGTTTTAACATATATTAAAAATTCAACATATAGCTTTGAAAGCTGTTCTACTTTATGATTCTCTCTGGCCTTTCTGTTCTCTTATGAATTTTTTTAAAAAACTTCAATGACTTTCTTTTTTCTTTTTTGCTATCCTATACTTCTATTTCTGTTCTTTCCCCCACCCTTCTCCCCACAGGAGGAGGGAAAAAAAAAAGATAAAATCTCCGTAGCAAAAATTCAAATTCAAGGAAATCAAATTCCCACTTTGGCCATATCCATCACCTCTATTTCAGGAAGTATCAATAGGATCATTTTACAGTTAAGGAAATAGTCCCAGAGAGCTAAAATTACTTGACCAAGATTAAAAAAAAAGTTAGCATTTCTTTACAAAGTAGAAGTTAATTGACTTGTCCAGAATCCCACATCCCAATAACTACCTTGTTGTGCACAACTAATTCAGCTCACCACAAGAGCCAGGATCCTATACTAACTGAAGGGATGAAGCCAGCTTAACCTTCTTTTCAAATGCGCATTGATGAGGCGGGAGACGAGATGGAAGCAACTCCGTTTTATTTTTACAAAGCATTCCCTTAAGTAGTAAAGTAACAGGAACTTCTTATCAAGTTACAATGACATAGAGCTCATGCTGTGCTAAGGACAGTGTATGGGCAGTCCTGTGCACTGATCTGACTCCAATCCCAGATAGACTGCTAATGACCATACAATAACTAGGAGAGTTAAAGATTGTTAAAGATCCATAGAATGGAGCACCGAGCCAGATGACCTTTGCTCATAGATCAGTCACCTGAGAGGGGCATCAGTGAGACCTCATGGACAGCCTGTGGCCCTCTACATCCTTACAGATCCCCAACACTACCTGAATCTGGACTTGAATTCCCCTCCCTGGTTCCAAGTCCACATGCTATCTAATACTCCACCTACCAGATTCAAGATTTGCATTTGTGTTACAATGATATCAATGTAAAAACATTCTAACCTACATTTTGCATCCTTGTGGTGATACTTTTCCTCCCCAGATTTCAAACAAATTGTTTCTTGCCGCAGTTAAAATTATTAGTGATTTGCTTTTTGTAATTAAGGACATTAAAGCAAGGATGACTTTTCCTAACAATGGAAGGCCAGAGTAGAATGAAGCCAGGTTATACTACTATAACACTCACTCTGGGCCCAATCTGCCATCTCCCATCAAACTTGCAGTCTTAAGTCCTCAGTAGGGAATAACTACTTTTCTCCTCAGGGTTCTTAGGGTATTACCCTGGATGGTTGTGACTTCTAACACTTTCACTCCTAAACTCCCTTTGATTGTTTCCCATTACCAATGAGCCTGGTGAACCGTGCTAGCTTTAGAAAAGATATTTACAAGGAGCACTGGCCCTGCATTCAGGAGGACCTGAGTTCGAAACCGGCGTCAGACACATAACACTTACTAGCTGTGTGACTCTGGGCAAGTCACTTAACCCCATTGCCTAGTTAAAAAAAAAAAGAAGAAAGAAAAGACATTTACTAAGAAGATATGGCAAGAACAGCTAATACATTGTGTCTCTTATATTACCATCATTCTTTAAGTTTGAATAAACTCTCCCTAGGGACTTTGCACTGGTGCATTCTGCCCTTGCACATGTAATGTCCCTTGGGAGGGAGAGTGTGTTGCTTGAAGGAAGATGATGACACATATGTATAAAGGACACATTTGGCCACCTCCCAACTACTGGCTCTGGAAGTCCTATCTCCCTGTGTGGAGTCCTGATGAAGTTTCCCTTAGGTGCACGGGGCTCTAAAGATCAGTGCCTTTCTCAAGTCCATAGCCAACACTTCTCTCTAAAAAAAAAAAAAGCTTTTTTTTTTAAGGCAATTGGGGTTAAGTGACTTGCCCAGGGTCACACAGTAAATGTCAAGTGTTTGGTTTGAGGTCAGATTTGAACTCAGGTCCTCCTGACTTCAGGACCAGTGCTCTATCCACTGTGCCACCTAGCTGCCCCCCAACACTTCTCTCTATGGTAAGAGTCACTATCCTTGAAGCTACCACCATCCTCTGATGATTGCTTTCCATCTATCTGCAGGGGCAGCCTTTGTCATCAGCCTTTACCATTCCAGTGGTTACTGATATTGATGCCAGTCACTGGTGGAAATTCTGCTGGAACCTCAAGAGATCCTAAATGTTCAAGTTCACCTAGTCACTCCTCTTGGAATACTTTTTTTAACCTAAGATCAGGAAAGAAAAAATTAAAACAAAACAAAAATGAAAGTGAGATCTCTAATGGCTAGGTGAGAGATAGGCCTTCCTCCTACCTCAGAAGCTCAGAGTAGTCCTTGCTTCACACACCATTACTTATCACTGGAAACAGTGATCTTCTAAATCTATACATTGGATTGGAGGCAAGTAAGGAATATTTGACAGTGCTCTGTAGAAGCAGGAATAGAGTGGAGCCAGGAAGTTCAGTGGCACAGTGCAAGGCCTGGAGTCAGGAAAACTCATCTTCCTGAGTTCAAATGTAGCCTCGAACACTTACTAGCTGTGTGACCCTGGACAAGTTGCTTAACCCTGTTTGCCTCAGTTTCCTCATCTGTAAAATGAACTGGAGAAGGAAACGGCAAAGCCACTCCAGTGTCTCTGCCAAGAAAACCCCAAATGGGGTCACAAAGAACCTGAAATGACTAAGCAATAACAAGCAGTGGAATCATCTTTAGTTGGCTCAAGCCTATTGTTAAATTTGTACTGCAAATATTTATACCTCAGAAGCTGGCAAATGTTACAGAGTGACTTGAGTTGTCGCTTTTGTTGACTGTCTAGATTTAGGAAAGTGAGGGAAAAATATTAATGCTGCAAATTAAACTTAAAAGTGTGTTGGGCATAGATTTCATTTATTTATCTATCCATCGCTTTATTTATGGAAAATCATCTATTAAACATTTACTAGCATAACACTATATCTATATCTCTCTCTCTATATATATGTATACTATATATATATATATATATATATATATACACACATACAGACACACAGACACACACAGACACACATAGACACAGACACAGACGTATATATGCTCTAAGGACTGGGCCCTATTTGGTC